CCGCAACAACATTCACAGATATGAGAAATTAATTAAAACGTATAATTGCATATATAAAATGACAGGAATGCGCGCTTATCTATTCCAAAAATTTATCGTACCGATAAGTAAGTACAATAAAAACAATATATTATAATATATAATTTTTAATTGTTCAATAAAATAATAATACTTCAAAAAAATTAACAAGTCTCATCTTTACAGGATGGTTTAAAAATGCAAATTATTTAAATATAATTTCGAAATTAAATATTTGACCAATCCGCCATCTCTCTTTCTAATGTTTTTCTTTTTATTTTTCCAGACGTAATTACCGTGAGACATCAGCGCTTGCACTGGCTTGGGGTTGTATTTTCAGCAATGTGTCACCCGACACGCGCTTACGCCAGCCGTTTATTTTTGCAACGTATATAGCCCTTGTAAAAATAAAAAAGGCCCGACGGGATGTCGAGGAGGGTCCAGGATGCGAGGAATTATACCGACGACCGCGAGAGAGTGCCACTTCAAAGAACTTGCGGGGTCTCGTTATTTTATTACTACGAAGTTCGCACACTCCAGTTTGGCGCATGCGGAAAGAAAGATCGCCTCTGAATCTTTTCGTTCGCGTGACCAGCCGAAGAATCGCGAAAAAAATCGACCAACTCTTCGAGATGATTTCTCACTTGTGACGCATGTATTGATTATATATATTATAAAATGATCAAATGTGTTACGAATTATCGTTACTGACGTCATTCCAAAAATTGATTACCTCAATTGTGTTGCAAATCGAATAGGTAGGTATCGATAGACTCGTAAAGAGTAGTAGCTAATTATCGATACATGTATAGGGATTATAATCATAGCAGCTGGTATACATAGATATAAATTTAATACTTATTTCACATAATCACATCACCTATATTTGAATATTAAAAATTTCGCTGCAATGCTAAATCGCGATTTTCGTTGAATAATCCAAGTTAATAAAGCTTGAAATTATATGAAAAATTTGACGTTTCGAAGTCAGACGATAAAGAGACACAACTAGTAGTCCAAGAATATTTATTGAAACAATGGCGAGTAATCTTATTTGATTTTGTAAAGTCAGAAACCATCGTGCTATTCCGAAATCGCGAAAAAACTCAGTCTGTGACGATTGCATAAAACGACAAACAGACAAACTTTTTGAATTATTCACGAACCGTCTCGAATTGAATATTATCCCGGTACTGCAAACTTAATCGATGACAATCTGTTATCCTTCAATTTTGAACTAAAAACGTGGCGTTAATCGAAAATCCGATAACAACGTTCCGCGATGCAATCGATTTCGCGTACATTCTCTGAGTGAAATTTAATTCATCCGCCGGTCCGTTAAATCAACTGGCGCCATAATCACGCGATTAGTTCGATGCGCGTATCATATTCATGCTTATTATACCATAGGTACCATATTATCATTCGAAATTAATAGTACATTAATATTTTGCAATTTCAAAATCAATACATTAGCTGGCAAACGATGTATCAATATGTATTGCAGAGGATGAGAAATCTTCTATAATTATACTTGAATCTGCTGATAGTTTTCACGTATCAAAATCAAATCATAATTAGAGAAACAAAATACCGATGCTACATAAACTTTTTTTTTTTTAAGTAATTTAATTCAATATCGAAAATATTAGCGCGAATTATATCATAGCTATAATTTCGACGGAATTCTGTACTGTCCCTAGATATTATTAAAGCATCGTAAATATCCTAAATGACATCATGGGAAAGCAAAATACCGCAAACGATCTGAATCTAAAAACAACGGTCGCGGTCGAAGATGGAAAGAAACTGTAATCGATCAAAATGAGGGGCGGTTTGTCGGCGAATCAGGAAGGAGAACCAGAACGAAGGAACGATCGCTCGTAATGAGAGCTCGAGTAACCCAGAGAACGAGAGAAAGGAAGATAAATAGACGTGAGGGAGTCTACGAGGCCGACGGGCCTGGAGAGACGGAGCTAAGAAACGACCTCTTGAAGATTAGAGCGAATTCCCCGCGGACAAAGACCGTGCAATTCTCGCCTCGATCTGTGTTATGCCTGTTTTACACGATATATAATATATATATATATATATATATATATATATGTTTAAATTAATATACATATTTTAGTGATAAAAATTCATTTTAAGAAGAAATCGTTCACTCTATTTATGTTATCGAATAAATAACGGAATTTCTCAAATATACATCGTATATATATATATATACGATGTATATTTGAGAAATTCCGTTATTTATTCTATAACATAAATAGAGTGAAAGATTTCTTCTTAAAATAAATTTTATCACTAAAATATGTATATATTATAATTTTAACATAGAAATTATATATTTAGGATGTCCAGCAGATTCAATGAAAAAAATTCCCTGACTTTGTCAAATTTTCCAAGACCAAAAACATTTTTTCCCTGACTTTTTAGTATTACTTTTTCCAAATATATAATTGCGTATATCTACATGATAAATCAATTAAATGTTGAATCATGAAATCCTTAAAATATTTTTGTTAATAATAAAAGGTTCAAAAGTTAAAAAAACACAAATTAAAATCAATTATATACTTTGCATTATGTACGATAATCAAAACAAAACATGTCACTATAAACTATTTAAATAATCACCTTTTTTATTATATCAAATTTTTGTCTCTATCAAACACATTGAAATAAAATAACACGACGATGAAAATATATATAATAACAAACACGCTGTAGATGAATCGATTTTTAACAACACAAAAAATTAGCGTGCTGGCAGTCGAGGAAAAGTTTATATTTATTTAATAAAAATTTTCAATTATTGATACAAATGTAGAATAATGTGAAAAAATCCAGATAAATAGTCAAATTTCCTGACTTTTTTCTCTAACAATTCCAGATTTATCAAATTCCCTGACCGCTAGACACCCTCATATATCGGAACCCTCCGTGATTTTCTTTACATCAATCTATAATTTCTTTTATACCTACAATTATCTTTATTGCAAAAATAGAATATAATTTTCAGATAGACATAAATACCGTCGTGTACCAAGATAATTCACGCGGAATAAAAAATTCTGCCGCGCATTATAAATCGTGTAAAACAGACTTTAGCGTCGGCGAGAGGTTACCGGCCTTCTCTATCGGAATCACAAGAACCCTCCCGATACGCTATTCCTCTCCTTCTCATCCCGACGAATCATTCGACGGCGGTTCAGACGGTGCGTGTGTCTTTTGTGTGCGGACCGGTTCCTGCCGGTTCCTCGAACCATTTATTTCCCTCGCGTCCCGACTATATACGACTCCTTCTTCGCTCTCGCTCCGCACTTCTCGCATTTTCTCCCCCTATAACCCGTTTCTCCCCGTATCGTTCTTTTTTTCTCGTCTCTACGGTTCGCTCGTGTTACATCTTTTTTCGACCGAATCTCTGGCATCTCGAAATAACGTCCCGGTTCCTGCCAGCGCAGCGTCCCCGAGAGTCCATGAATGAACGCCGCCGAATCGCACGCAGGAGTCACACGTTTGACCTTCGCGCGGGTCGATTCGCGTCTACTGACAACGACGATGGCACCGACGACCGCGTTTGACCTCGCTTCATCGACCACACTGAAGACCCGACACTGGGTCGACGGTACCTAGACACTTCCGCCTTGACATCGGTGTAAGGAGTTATTATTCCGACATCGTTTCGTCGCGCCTAAATTTCCTAAATCAAATCGTCAGAAGGGAGAGAAGAATACGCTCCATCTTATAAATTGTTTATTCACTGCAGAAGTTTTAAATAAATATACGGAGTTGAGAAATATTTTGGAGATTCAGATCATGTATACAAGACGTCTCGTCTTATAAATCGAACCAGCATCGTGATTACTCGCCATAGCGATAATCGACTTTCCGCGATGTTTACGAGCGCTTGCCGATGTACGACACGACGCGAGAGCGCGATATTATCACGGCACTTTTATCGCGCTTTTATTATGATACCCGAGACTTCGGAGATCCGATTGTTAAATCGGAACCTTTCCGATTCGCGTTGCTCGCTCGAGCCGATCGATCGAAACGATTCAAACGACGAGCAAGAATGGCACGCCAAGTAATACCCGGTGGTGAGACGACGGCTATCGGAAACCGAGAGCGCCTTTACTATCCGATAACGATTAACGAGTCGTCGGTCGTTCGATTGTGCGAGAGTATCGAACGACCGATCGCGGTTCGTCGGCTTTAAAAGGGACTTTATCGGCGCCTGCTTCAAGTTTGCCTGCCTCTCTCGATGAAATTGAAGAAAACTCTCCGGAAATGTTACGAGCTCTCCTCTCCTCGTTCCCCGAAAGTTCCCGCTACCTTCGGGGAACACGATTAAAACTGTATTCATCAGCGCGCGCGAGCACTTCCGCTTGCGAACTAGAAGCGAGATTAGCGGGACAGACATTCCGCGAACCGACTAATGAATTTCGGGCAACCGAGAGAGAACTCTCTGCGTGGCAAGAGAGTTTGGCTCCATTTACGCTCCCATTAAATCTCAATTTCAAACGGCACGCCATTCACGATTATCGTTTTTCCAGAAAGTAAAGTTGAAATTGACTCCGTCAAAAAATACCCGGGCTTTCGAAACTTGTTTGTTTTAAATGTTAATAAGTTTGATTATTTCAGATTATTTATAGTATCCCCCTGTTTTCGTATATAAACTTGTAATGGTGAATTAATAAATGTTAATGTTTGAATATACATATACATCAGTTTTGGCGAGATACGATCACCTAATTTCTCACGGATGATAAGTCAATTACGTTTGCGCGATATTTTGCAATTCACGCATATAGATGTATTATTTTTCGCAGACTTTCTAAATCTGACAGTCCCAAACATAATCTCATGATGAAGTAATTAAGACAAAAAATGTAAATTGTGCGAAAGAGATGGTAATCTCGGCGTTTCATAGAAGATTAGACATTAGAGTAAAAGACGTGAAGTTCACTTACCTTTTTCAAGATGCTGAGATATCGGACTTTGTACCCTCGGAGTTGCCTGTAACTGCGCCGCGTTTCCCGGTCGTCTTCGTGGCCTTCTTCCGGGTCGGGGCTGAAAACAAACAATGTCCTTGATTAATCTTCTTTGAACAATTAAGACCCACGAGTGAATCGCATAGAATACAAATTAAACCTAACTGAAAATTTCGATTGTTCCCTATCAGACCTATCTGTGTGAATTGTTTAGTATTATAAGAAATTAAGTTTCGAATAATATAAAAGTGAATTGATTCAAATAAACGCGACCTCATTTTTAACAAGAGCAAACGCAGACACATCGATCATCGAATGCTGATAACCGCGATCGGTCGCGTGCAACACAAAAATATTTTCACGCGCTTTCTTTCAAAGTCAGCTGACGCCGGATTAAAATGAACGATCGTGACAATTTATTACCACGCGGAGCAGATTACAGGCGTGTTACAGGCACGCAAATTTGCAGCTAAACTATAACCACATGCTGCAGCAGAATCGATTCACATGCGATTATATATGACACGTTTAATATCACGTTTTAATCATAGAGAATGTCTTTATAAAATTTAATAAAATAATCGAATGTAATAAAAATGATAAAAAATCACAATCGTTCTCTCTCGCTCAAAAGATATTCGCACCGTTCTTAACATCCATTTACTCAAAGCAGCGCAGGTGAATGCAACGTTGGCCGATCGCGTGTGCATTTTACACAGCGGAAACGATCACGAGATCTCGATCGTAAAGACATGAATAGGAGCCATTCTACGAATCTTTTCGAATCATCGGTAAACATCATGTCATCCGTGACGTCGCGTGAGTTTCATCACGACGAAATCGCGCAGCCGACCGCGATTTTATAGAGTCTCGATGATTCCGGAATCGCTATTCCTTTGCCGCATATCGTCTTCGTCTTTCGTTATTCCGTTCTTGCTCGAACTACGTACGTACGTATATATATATATATATATGCACTCGCAGTCAGATAATCGTAATGTCAGTCTCGGCTTTTTGTTGCCGCTCGTAAAGCCGCTGGCGCACGAGGAACAGCGCGGAAGGACCGACGAGAGCGGGAAGCGAGTTTATACCGTCTTTGTTTAACTGCCGCATTTATTACCGGGGTGATAAACGGGGGACGCGAGCGTGCTCCGAGATAAACGCGAGCAAGCGTTTCGCGTTTGTACGCGCCGTGTGTCCCAGTGGCGACGACCTCAATTTAACGATCGATTTCACGAGCAACTTGGAGCCGAATGTTTTCCCACCGCGAAAATTTCGTAATTAAATACAAGCCGACATTGCGCGAAGAGATAGTCTGAATCTAAATGAACGCAGTAAAGTTTCGATAATCGTATTACAACAGCCGAACTCGGGAGAGGAAGGTTCTTATCTTTGCGACAACTCGCGACAATCGTTTCTCGAAAGGTCTCTTTACCCTCGACACAGCTTGTAACTCGAAAATCATCTCTACGATATTTAAATTAAGGAAAACTTCTTGTTGTTAAAATTAAGATTATCGAGTACAAAAATTCTCTTTATATTAAAACACACTGTAAAATAATACAATGTAATATATAATTATTGTAACGTAGCGAAAAAAAATCAGAATAAATGCAGACTAAATTACAAGAATCCATTGTCAAGGTATTCCAGGCATTTCTTAATAAAATTCTAAACTTCCGCAAGACTAAAGTTAAGCCTTGAGTGCTTTGCTAAATTACTGAAATTCTTTTACACCTTAAGTTTTCTTTAGGATGCAATATCTGAGGTATTATTATTATTTTTCGCATACCAACGTGATCATCGGATATCAGAATTACACGTATCGTAGCAAAGGAGCTTTCAGAAATTAATATCGTTACATGGAACGATAATCTTGCGCGACACATTTCAATGTCTTATCAAACATTCATTAATTTCATACAGCTTATTTTACTTCCCATTTATAGCAACGTGCTTCGAGGAAATTTTGATTTATTATTTTAATACATTAATGTATTTCCTAACTTATATCGGACAATATCTAATAATAAAGCATGCACTTTAATTCCCATCAAGTTATTGCATTATCCATTGTAATAAATTTAGTTCAGCATGTTAATAAAAATACATTCGATTATATATATATATATATTTCAATTATAATTAATCACGATTACGTTCGACAGTCTTGTCAAGTACCAACTTAAAAAAATTACATCACGAGGCTAAAATAAAAGAGGTTCTTAAAGTTACGATCTAAGTCAGGAAGAATTTCTCAAACTAATGTCACCGAAAATTTATTCGGCATACCTCGCATGCGTACGATATACACAAGTCATTCTTTGTCGACTCTCCCTTCGTATTTTGTAGCAGAAAAGGGAACGAGGACCTGCGAGACTCGCCGCGCGTCCGGGTGGAAGAATCCACCTCCTGCTCTCCCGTGTGTGTTTTATTGCAAATTGAGGTTAAAGTCTCTGGCACGGAGCCAGGCATTTCACCTAGGCCGTTGCATTCCGGCGAATACACACGAGCATTATATGTTCGCCTATGTGTCTCGTGTGCGCGCGCAAAAGCACCTTGATCGCGTATATATAAGGGAAGAGCTCTTATGTACAATCTCTACGGACTTTAAAGCACGATTCACGTATACAATATGTGCCTGGAATATGTAGAGTAAGTCTCGTGAATTGAAAGTAGATTTTTTTTTTTCAATCAAGAAACGCCACTTCTGTCTCTGTATTGTAATTGAAAATAAGAAGCTTCGCGAAAATTAAATTCACGATTGAATTGTATAAATAAATGTAGATTAAATGATGGGAAATAATCGAAAAAAATTTTAAATTTGATTGTCAAAAGCTAGGTCGATAAAAACAGATATCAGAAAATTCCAACGATGAGATTGTCTCTTAGAATTGTTCTAAAAATTCTTTGGGCGAAAAATAAAAGAGATAAAATTTTAAAAGACAAAGTTATATATTGATACCCCTAATTTTGCAAAACAGGTCAAAAAATAAAAGAAAAATGTCATAGCAATTTGCTAATCGGTCGCCTGCTATTTTTTTCATGAAGCATCATCATGCATCTCTACACAAGAATTCAATATAAATACCGTGTTGGTGCACATCTGCGAAGCGAAAAATAATACTCGATCGTCACGTCGGTCGGTTTTATTTTTACTCGTGTCTCGCACTCACTCAGACATACAAGAGTAAAAATAATGAAGAAAAAAAAATGAGTTCGCGCGCAGCGACGACGGATGATATCTCATAATGCCATTAACGTATATACCGTCGAGATGGCATCTTCGCCACCGGAGGATATAGGTGGACGCATTACGCGCGCGGACAGCATCTTTTTCCGACATATGCTAATCTAATTAATGGTTACACGGGAACGCACGTGTGGCGCGCGCGCGCGCGTGACATGTACCTGAGCGAATACACGTGCGACACGAGGAGCAATGGCGTATTTATTACTGTCCAGGGTCTCCTCGAGTCGCCGCGCCGGGGCATTTAAAATTTCAATTTTCGATCATTTTATCTTGCGCGGTCAATTAAATTTAAGATGTATGTACGATATTAGTTTATTCGATATTAACGGCTCGAAATGGAAGTTACATGTATATTTCAGGACTCGTATTTTTATCGACAAAATTGATCAATTTATATGTAAAATTCAATTTTGTAATCAAACACGAGCTATATGTTTCATTTTCTCTCATCAAATATGTATTTTGAAAACTTTATGATCTCTTAGGCGTATAATTGGATACGAGAAAAATTAATTTAATGTGAAATCAAAATTGTGTACTAGCTCATTATATCATCACATAATTTCATTAAAGAGGTTCATCAAATCGAACACAAATAAATGTTATAATTAATTTAATATGTAATAATTAAAAATTTACGTTTTCAGATCCCTCTCTGCAAATCAGAACACTAGACGATCTAAAATATGTCATTGATTAAGGGACGTAAGCGGAAGTGTTATTTTCGTAAACGAGATCTCCTCTTAATCGTATAACAAGTAACGCAATAAGGTATGAATAAAACCGGATTATCCCGATGTCGATAACGAGCCAGTTAAGAGACACAAATTGCATTCCGTCTAAGAAAATTATACGAAAACTGGAACGATAACGTGACACGTGAGTCGCTCAAGAGATAATAATTAAGATCGACTGATTCGGAGCGACTGAAAGTGCACTGATGGCAATAAAGCGACATGTTATTGCACGCATAATTATTATTTCCCGCAATCAGGTCTGATTGATAAAAGAATTTTGCTTCGAAGTTGTCGGATTTATTTTCACATGTTTCGCGCAACAGATTTTATCAGCTCTTTCAATCGCCAGGAAGTAATTAACTCTGTCACGTCCGCTATAATTTTCTTGAGAAGTATCGCAAGTATCTTTTTTCTGAAATCCGATTCACTCTCATCCAGACCTATTCACATGTTCTCTCGATACCGTTCTACCAGCTTATTAAGCCTACCAGTGTTCTTATTTGGCATCGTTTATAATTAGATGTATCGCGTTATCTTTTATAGCCGATGTTATAGCAAGTTTGTGCAGCGGGATGGACAGGAAACGACGCGACGTTACGCCAATGACAGGCGTACGTGACAACCAGATGCGTGTAAGGCAACTGCACGCATTGCGTTATACGTATATGTATATTACACACACTTGCTCGTGGGCGAATGTACTGGGCGTCGCGATAAAACCTAGTGAACCAAAAAGATTAACCGACTCGTTATTTACCGTGGTTTTGCGCAACCGCTTTCCTTCGATACGTTATCGCGACCAATCGATTCCGGTCCTCCTTTTGCTTCTTCAGAATCGATGCGCGAATGACCCCCTTTAAAGTCGATCGTTCATTTATCGTTCATGAAATTGCCACACATTTTTGCGGTTTAACTAGGATTTCAATAGTACAAAGGATATAAAAAAAAAGATACAGCATTGCGTGTGATTAAACTCTTATATCTACTAAAACAAATATAGAATTAGTTAATCTTTTCTGTCCTATGAAATTTCCAAGTATCTATTTCTATTCACATACATCGGTGACGTTGAAAAAACCTGTCGATGCT